AGGGTTAAATCTGTTGTCTTCTGCTGTTGTTAGGAGTGTCTGTGAAAGACGGTTGTTCTGTGCGTCTGAAGAGCTCGTGCTGTAGCTGTCCGAGCGCTGGAGACACACACACACACAGGTAACACGCCACACACAGGCCTTTTATTGCTAAAGCTTGCGAGGAACCTTTCCTCATTCATGCTGATAGTTGTGCAGTGCACATGCATGCAGCAGACTTAATGTGAAGTTTGCATGTGCTCTAATAATGCTTAAACATTTTCATCTCGACAGATCTCTGCAGACCTGAGAGACTCTACACACACACACACACACACACACACACTTATGTTAGAGGAACAGTTCAGCCAAAATCTGCTCACTCTCAGATCATCTGAGATCGGGATGAGTGTTTCGTCATCAGGTTTGGAGGATTGCATCAGTGTCTCACTGCAAGTGAATGGGTGCCGTCAGAACGAGAGCTGATAAAAACATCACAATAATCCACAGCACTCAGTGTAGCATTGCATCAGTGTCTCACTGCAAGTGAATGGGTGCCGTCAGAACGAGAGCTGATAAAAGCATCACAATAATCCACAGCACTCAGTTAACATCCGGAGAAGACGAAAGCTGAAACTAATCCAGCATCAACACGCTTTTAACTAAAATACATAGTCTATAATAACTCTTCCTCCAGTGAAAAAAGTCCACCTGTTGTCTCTCACATATGTGTTTAGAGCTGTTTAAACGCTGCTTGATCTGTGCAGATTTCTCTCCTGATTCACACCAGAACACTGACTCACTGGAGGAAGAGTTATTATGGATTATAGACTCTAAAATGTTAACGGAGTGCTGTGGATTATTGTGATGTTTTCATCAGCTCTCGTTCTGACGGCACCCATTCACTTGCAGTGAGACACTGATGCAGTGCTCCAAACCTGATGAAGAAGCACTCATCCACATACTGCGATGATCCTGAGGCTGAGCAGATCGTCCACAAGCACAAGAGCAGCAGCGGCTGGCGTTTAAAGCCTACAGACACAACATACTCCCAGCACCTCCACACATGAGCATTGTGCTTTGAAAGAAACCCTTCTAAACGTGTGGCTGGAGTTTCTTTTGCAGTTTAAAGCTGCTGTGGGAGAGTTCAGTTTGAACAGGATTGTGACTTCTGACGCTTTTAACTAAAATACATAGAGTCTATAATCCATAATAACTCTTCCTCCGGTGAAAACGGTGCATCTGTTGTCTCTCACATATGTGTTTAGAGCTGTTTAAACGCTGCTTGATCTGTGCAGATTTCTCTCCTGATTCACACCAGAACACTGACTCACTGGAGGAAGAGTTATTATGGATTATAGACTCTAAAATGTTAACTGAGTGCTGTGGATTATTGTGATGTTTTCATCAGCTCTCGTTCTGACGACACCCATTCACTTGCAGTGAGACACTGATGCAGTGCTCCAAACCTGATGAAGAAGCACTCATCCACATACTGCGATGATCCTGAGGCTGAGCAGATCGTCCACAAGCACAAGAGCAGCAGCGGCTGGCGTTTAAAGCCTACAGACACAACATACTCCCAGCACCTCCACACATGAGCATTGTGCTTTGAAAGAAACCCTTCTAAACGTGTGGCTGGAGTTTCTTTTGCAGTTTAAAGCTGCTGTGGGAGAGTTCAGTTTGAACAGGATTGTGACTTCTCTGTGAACCCTGTGCATTTAAAACAGCAATATACACCTTTAAGAAACATGATTGTGATTAATAAACGCATGCACACAAAGTCTGTCACGCTTGATCATTTTATTCGCATCATTTTCATGCACGACGCAAAGCGGCCGGATCCTCAGGATGGACGAGGTCTTCGGCATCTGAAGAGAACCCGCAGAGACTCGCAGCTTCTTGGGGTTGTTCTGATAGAGAAGCACCAGCAGAAAGAGCCAGACGCCCAGCATGTTAGCGGAGAGGGCCAGCGGTGTGATTTTTTTTAACTTAAAAATAGATATATTTAAAATGTTGGCGTGTTTGTCCTCCTGACCGCTGTTAAACTGTAATGTATTTCTGTGATGTGCAGCTGTATTCTCAGCATCATTCCTCCAGTCTTCAGCGTCACATGATCTTCAGAAATCAGTATAATATGCTGATCTGTTACAGTTTTACTGCTTCTTTTTTTTTTTGGAAGCTGTGATACTTTTTTCAGGATTCTTTGATGAATAAAAAGTTACAAAGAAGAGCATTTATTCAAAATAGAACACTTTTGTAACAAGATTCACTGCAGCTCAAACGTTTGGCGTTCTTTTTTTTCTTACATTTTTTTAAAGAAATTAATACTTTTATTCAGCAAGGATGTGTTAAATTGATGAAAAAAAAAGTAATAATAAAGACTTGTAATGTTAGAAAATATTTCTCATTTAACTTTTTATTAAAAAAGAAAACCTTTATTTTAAATTGAAATAATTATAATATTAATAGAACAAAAAAACATTTCTTGAATGTTTTACTGCAAAACGAAGAGCGGAAGAGCTGTTGATTGGTCAAGAAAAAGTGGATTTATTTTTAAATACCTGTTTAATTGAATTAAGAATCCTCTGCTTTAAAATATTTCATTGTCAAGAAAATGCACATTAAATTAAAATATAAATATATTTGATTAATATTAATAAATCATATATCAATTATAATATATATTTATTTAGTATAAAATAACAAAAAAACATTGTATTTTAGTAATTGTCAGCATTTCTAATCGTCTTTGTTCAAGTTTAAGAATGTCATTTCTGAAATTAATACTAAATAGAAGACCTGACTAAATAAGAAAAGACTAGAAAAAATTAAATAGACATAAAAAAAAAGTTTAACTAAATTTCAAATGTAAACACATACAAAACTATAATAGTATATCAATGATACTAATAGAACACTAGTTAGATTATTGTAATGCACTTACAATGCAAGTAAACATTACATTATGTTTATTACTGAAGTAATATATTTATAGTAAATACAGTGATGCTAAAGAAGAGACCTTGTGTTTGAAGTCAGCATGAAACAAACTGCAGCCAAGTATTCGGCTAAAGGAAAGAAATGATCAAACGGGAATAAACTGTTAGATGCTGCTTGATTTAGTCCATCAAGTATTTATTGGATTGTAGAAAGTAGACGATGAGAAGTTTGATGCGGGACCAGATGTGCACAGATAAAGCTTTTATAATCAACACTGCGATATTCCTTTCAAATATTAGAAATATTGTTGATTTCATTTTTTCCTATGGTTTTATTGAACGGTGAAGCAGCACAAGATGTCAGTACTGTAGCTCTACCGTGTCTATCATGTCACGAGGCGAAGAGTTTTATTAGGACAGACTCTGAAGGACTGATTTGATCACAAGTAAAGAGTCTTTTATAGAGTTATGTCTACACAAAGTAGTTTTCTGAGTTGGTATTTTATTTTCGCTGGACAGTCCTCGAGCTCCGGCTGAGGTGAACGAAGCAGTTTTTGTCAATTCTGTTGAAATATATATATATTTAAATGTATGATTTTGAAGTATGAAGTATTTATTTGACCTATATACATGATTTTTGACTATTTTCTATTTTTATTCATATATGAATATCCAATATTTTTACAAACAAAAGTAGAGTATAATCTTGGTAGATTATTTGTAATCCCAATGAAAATACAGATGCACTGTCGCAATAAGCTCAGCATTTTAAAAGCAGTTTAAGGTTGCGTTAAACAATCGAGCATCCTCTTGTGCTGAAAGAAGCCGTAGAACAACATCAGGATCAAAGTAACGGTCTGCTCCTGATGACAACACAACCACCTGCACTGCCTGTCTGCCCTAGATCACACCTTCCCAGACAGCTGCAGCTCACACACACACACACACACACACTCTCACACACACACACACACACTCTCTCTCACTCTCACTCACACAGACACACTCACTCACACACTTTTAAAATGCGAGCATTAAGGGAATGTTCCATTTGATCATTTTGAAACGTTACTTTAGGATGTTCTCTGAAACAAGTTGCAACATTAAAAAACAAAAAAAACATTAGATGAATGTCCAACTAACAAAAAAAAACGTTCCATAAACACTTTTTGTGCTAACATTTGCGCAGATTATTAAAGGTTTTTGCTCACAGCTTTGAGGGAAAGTTGCCGGATCGTGAAGAGAACATGACTCCCGAGCAGAACGTTTTTAAACCATCAGCTTCCAGAAGCACGGCTCCACGAACCATGCAAACAATGTTTTTAACGTTCCCCGTCAGACCCCAGCTGCTGCTGCTGCACAGATTCATATGTTTCTGTTCTGGTGTCGACATTCCTCGCTGGTGCTCGTGTCTAATATTAATATTTTTTAACTGGAGAAGCCCAGTAAACGTTTGGTTCGTGTGGATGTAAACTGAACTTGTATTTTATGTAACGATAAGTGAATTTAAAGTGCTTTTACTGAATGTGTTTTTGGAACGCAAAAACTTTATCCCATAACACATTTAGTGTCTAAAAACGTGATTTAAACGTGCAGTTTTATTTAAATGTTACTGACAAAATTAGTCACTTGAACGTTTCTTTTGAACATTCTAAGAACGTTACAATGTTTCTTGTCGTGATTAGAACGTTATTTAAAGGTTGCAGAAACGTTGCTCAGAACGTTCAAGTACAAATAACATCATAAGAACGTTTTCTCTCAACGTTATGATTAATATGTGACCCTGCAGCACAAAAGCAGTGTTAAGTCGCTGGGGGATATCTGTAGCAATAGCCAACAATACATTGTATGGGTCACAATTATACATTTCTCTTTAATGACAAAAATCATTAGGATATTAAGATCATGTTCCGTGAAGATATTTAGTAAATTCCGTACCTAAAACTTAATGTTTGATTAGTAATATGCATTGCTAAGAACTTCATTTGAACAACTTTAAAGATGATTTTCTCAATATTTAGATTTTTTTGCACCCTCAGATTCCAGATTTTCAGATATTGTGCTATCCTCACAAACCATACATCAATGAAAAGATGATTTATTCAGCTCTGATGGTTTACAGATCTAGTTTCAGCGCACAGGAACAGAAACACGCCGCTCTGGCTCTTTGTATTTGAGAAACACACTAGCGCTGCCGCCTGCACTCGTCCCACAGCGGTGTGTGAATGTGTTCGGGGATCTTCTCAGCAGAGGTCTGTAGAGGACACGAGCACGGGGGGTTACACTGAAGCAAGAATGATTCTGAAGCGGTGCTTGTGCTGCTGTTACCTTGATGACCTCCATAGCAACGCCCTCCGGCAGATTACGCTGAATATACTCCAGATAAACCCGAGCGCTCGAGCCGGTTACTCTGGAAACCTGAAATTAATCAATACTGACCTGTACTGAGCTTCTTAGACATTTTACACACAATATATACTTACAAAGTAAACTCAATTATAAAATACCTAAACAAAAATACATTCATTTATATATTATATAAATAAATAAAAAAAGTGTTACAATATATAACTTAAAAAAATGATTAATTTATATATTTATTATGTATAAAAAAATTAAAATAAATATATAAACTAATTTATAAAATATACATAATCCATATATAGCTGTGTGTCTAATATATTATGAATATAAAAATTTAATATTAATAAAAAAATTAAAATACATAAATTAAAACATTAATTTCAATATTTATTTCATGTTTAAAACATTAGAATAAATATATAAAAATGTAAACTAAAATTAAACAAAGAAATACATAATTTTATATTTATATAAAATGTATCATATGATGTATTATGTATATATAATATTAAAATAAACATTTATATAAAAAAAATTTTTTTTATAAATATATATTTTGATTTTTTTTTTACATTTTTTAAATCAATTTAAATGGTCAAATTTAAATAAAAAATATATATATATAAACAATATAACATTAAAAGGAATACATATATATATAAATAAAAATATATGTGGTAAAAAGTGTCCCGGTGTAGTTCCTTCTGCTCACCTCGATGCGGCGCTGATGCGTCCTGGTCTCGTACTGCACGTGGTGCTTCTTGAAGATGTGCACGGACTTCAGCAGCGCCAGCTTGTCCGTGTGTTTGGGCGGCTCACACCTGTGAAGCAGAGCACAGCTTCAGCCCTGCGCCGAGAGTTTCTGCCAGCTCGGCTCTGCTGCGGTTCACTCACGCTTTCTCCAGCTTCAGGCCGAGCTCTCCAGCCGCCAGCGTCACGAAGAACTCATAGCTGTCCAGCACTGACCTGTCGTGACCTTTGACCCGCACCGTCAGCTTCTGATAGAGCGCGTCCGGCTCCTCTGCGAGCGACACCTGAGACACAATCAGAGTCTTGATTTCACACAGAACTGCTTCATATGAGCCGCGCAGAACGAGTGCAGAGCGCAAACTCACCGCAGGACACGGCGCCGCTGAGACTCCAGCCCTGCAGACACACACGCTCACATTAATATACAGGGGCTCCGAAACTCTCTAATCTGTCAGACAGGCCCAATTCTGTAGGAAAGAGTGTGTGTGTGTGTGTGTGTGAGAGAGAGAGAGAGAGAGAGAGGGAGTGTGTGTGTGTGTGAGAGAGAGAGAGAGTGTGGGT